TATTTGTTGAACTGAAGTGGGCAGTGTTTAGATACCCAAGGCAATAACTTAAGGAAAGTTTTAAAAATTGCTTAAAACTCTAGAAATTTTTCCATGGCCAATCCATCTACTTCAGAGATTACCAGCCAGAAAAACATAGTACTGGGATCCATAAGTAGTTCATGCTGTCTCATTTCCCTGGGAGGTGTGTGTGTGTGTGTGTGTGTGTGTGTGTGTGTGTGTTATGCATAGACTTTTTTCTGGGTTACTACAATTATTATTTATTAATTATTTTTAAAAATGTTTATTTTGAGAGGGAGAGAGAGTGGGGAAGAGGCAGAGAGAGAAGGAGAGAGAAAATCCCAAGGGGGGCTCGATCTTACGAGAACTTTGAGATCATGACCTGAGCTGAAATCAAGAGTTGGACACTTAATCGACTGAGCCACCCAGACACCCCTGAAATTATTTAAAAACAATACCAGAACAAATCTTTGTATTATCTTCTGTAATCTTTCCATGTCTATGTCCCTTCAACACTCCTTCATATTTGTTTATCTCCCTGATATATCTGAAGGTCTCTTTCATCTCTGCCTCTTTCTCACTTGGTTCATATATCCTCGTACAGGCTGGACAGCAGTCACTCTGAGTAGCAACTGTGCAACTAGCTCAGGACCAAGGACAGCAGCATACATGTCCTTGAAGTGAGAGAAGGTGCTTTTGTTTGCTAAAATTTGTTCAATAATATGACCTTTGGGCATAGCTCTTCTCATCTGTCAGGCTGCATTTGCAATTCTGCAATCCTGGTTATTACTCTTTGCTTATTTGGTCATTGCTTGTGTTTGACCCATGTCTGCAGTGGATGTGTGTCCAGTCTGTGCCCACTATGTCCTTGTGGCATTGCTTCCACTGATGGGTAGTGAGACTAGGGCAAGAGTGGCACAGCTATGGAGTCAGAAAATATGGAGGTAGGGGTAGGGAGAAGCTCTGGACTGGGGTGAGGGGGACTGGTTTAGAAGCTCCCCATGAGGGTCTCTTGCTCTGAGCTCTGCAGTCATCCTTTGCTGCTTTACTGCTACCCACATCTGAACTTCCAGCTATGGGGAGCAGGGCAGAGTGAGGGGAAGTACAGGGCCATTCATGTTTGCATGCCTGCTGTTCCATAGTGACAGGGGCCAAAGATGCATTTTCAAATCAACAATTTCATCTTTAACCTAAAGTCATGTCCTGATTAAATTAAAATTAATTCAAATTCAAATACTACTGATATGCACCTGGGGAAGAGGGAGGGGGACTGAGAGTGAGGGTCCCAAGGAGTGAGCCTTTTATATGTCTGAACCACAGCACATACCTTCCGCCTCCACCTCTAAGTATCTCTGTAACTCTCTCTAAATATATTATATAAGCAAATATACTGCTAATGTTCAACAGCTGATTCATGTTCATCACTGACTAATTCATCACTAGCTAATGTTCTGTGTTACTTTGAGAACTCATGCAAGAGTAATACTCACTGTAACAAAAAGACAATAAATCTACAACCGTCACAACCCTCCATGAGGTATGAGCACTTTAAATAACCTAGTCAGTTAGCAAAGAATCTGTTTTTAAGAAGTGATGGGCAGATATAATCACTTCTGAAGTGGCCATTTTCTCATGTCTAGAGAACACCAAATGTTGTCAAGTTTTCTGGGGAGGGAGGGAGGGAGAGAGGGCAAGTGAGCCTGTGTGCATTGCTGCTGAGGTCTCAACTCAGCTAATATTAAATCTTGTGAAGAATAAACAGAAACGGTTTGCTCATTAGCTGGGCTTACAGAGGTGTTACCCACATGTTTAAAGTGCTAATTAATAGTGATCTCTAATGCAGCTAATTTAGCAATGGTGTTACAAAATTTTGCTCTTCAAAAGTAGCCCATTAACCAGGCCTTTGTATCTAATATTGACTTTAGAAAGTTAATATTGAAATTGGCCACAATTAGAGTTCATGCGGAAGGCAGAGAGAGAAAAAAGATAAAGATGGGGTAGAAATAGGCAGGGGAGAAGGCCTGGGGGAGGAAGAGGCACAGCAGTCAGTAAGCATCATTTGTGTGGAGGGCATCATGGCACTGTGGGTGAATAAGAATCTGTCCTGGGCATTCCTGAGCACAAGCTGTGTACTGGGAATTGGAGATACAGATATAAACACCCAGCCCAGACCTCTGGAGCTTAGGGTCTCGAAAGGGATCCAGATGTTGCAGTGGAGATGACACAACAGTGAGGGGCCTGCCATGTGACATACAGAGAAGGAGGAGCCAGCATAGCCTGGGCAGGGGAGGTGTCAGGGAAGGTACCCTGGGCAAGATACCCAGCTCATCATAGCACAGGGCAGGAAATGGTCATTGTGGGGAGTGATGAGCAAATGCAAATCAGACTTCAGAGAAGGTAAACGTTGCTTCTCCCTGGTGTAATGACTACCCAGTCTGGCTACTGTCATCTCAAGTTCCTGACCGCTGCATGAGACCTAGTCAGTTTGCTTGGAAAAGCTTAGTATTTAGCATTTGCCAAAAGAGGAGCCCTTGTCTTTGTTTTTTCCCTTCTCCTTTCTGTGTTGAAATCAGATTAGCTGAGGCTTGTGAATGTCCTTCTCTTAGAAGTGCCTGGGTGGAGGAGAGTTCTGCTACACTGTCTTTCCTCCCATAAAAGTGAGGGAGGTTGCTGCTGAGGCTGGTTTGACATTTGCAGGTGTCAGTGTTGAGGGACCGAGGCTGTGCTGTGGGCAGATGGATCCCCAGGTGGGGCAAGGCAGGTGGAGCTCCACACTGCACATGTGTTCTGTTGCTGACACAAAGCTGCCCAGTCTCTTTCTTTACCAGATTTATTCCTTCCTCTTAGCACACACTTCCTGCCTCAGTGGCAGTTGTTTTAACTAGAGATCTAAGGAATATATTTATAGTCTCTGGAAGAGTTTTCCAACAGCCAGTTTCCTCAATAGCTTGTTAGCATCTGTAAAGAGGAGACAAGACATTCACCTCCATCTGTGTGTGTGTGTGTGTGTGTTTCTCAACAGCTCTTTCTCTCTTGCTCTTACCCATTTCCTCTCATTCTTGCCACCCCTCTCTCTTTTTCTTGTGTTAATAAAGGAAAGAGGTGAGGGAGAGAAGGGATAGTGAGGGGAATGAAGATAATCGCTCCCACCCACCAATCCCTTCCTTCCCATCCACAGCTGTACTGACAGTGTCTTCTCCTAGGGCTTTGCCCATCTAGTCCTACACATAAGGGATCATATCCTTAAGTCTCTTCCTTTTTTGATTCAGTGCCACATTGCATCTTTATTATGGTCTTACTCAAACTCCCAGCCTCCTACTGGCCTGGCAGCTCACATCAGGTACCTCACAGATAAGCATTCTTCCTGCCTCTCTTGGAACTTCAGAAGATAAAAAGAGACAAAGTTCTAGTGGCCCCGTCCTCATATTCCAGCACCCACCTCAGCAAGAGCCACATGTCCCATCCTCCCCCACCTTTTGCACAGCAGAATGTGATATGGGGTTTGGGGTCAGAGCCTCCTGGCTCCAGCTCTGTTCTGGAACCACATCCTTCCTTCAGGACCAGCCAGGTTCCACCTAGCTCTGGCCTGTGCTGCGTTGTTGCAGTCCCAGCTCTCTGAGCTTCCAATGGCACTTGCAGCCACTTCTCTGCTCATGCCTTCCCAGGAGCCCACCCTACTGAGATATCAGTTCAGAGTGTGATCATGGAGCTCAGCCACCACCTCCATGCCCTCTTTTCCATCACTCCCTCATCCTACTTTTCTGTTCACCCCGTAAGCTCTCTCCATCTTTGGCACAGGGTCAGCTCGCCCCTCCTCTCTGCTGTGGCATTTGCTGCTTGCCTCCAGGACACTGTTCTGTGGCCTACCCTTACTCAAACCCTGGTTCAAAGATCACCTCCTCAGGGGAGCCATCCCCCTGATGAATCACCTCCTACTCCCCACTCTTGCTCTCAGTCCTCTAGCACCTGTGTATGCTTGGTTTTGTCCAGTATATCTGGAGCCTTTTTTGCATGACAGGCACTGTGTGCTGAGTGCAAGGTAAGGCAAAGAGTAAGACATGGTCCCTGCCTCCAGGGTTTCAGAATCTGTTAATGGTGAAAAGAATGAAAACATAGAAATGACTTTCAGGAGAGAGAGAGGAGGAGGCACAGTCAGGGATGGTTCCACTTGAGGAGAAGGTCAGAGAAACTGCACGGAGGAAATGATGGATTCAAGAAAGATTGAACGGGTAGAATCAGCAGAATCAAGCACTGAACTGATATTTGGGATGTAGGAGTGGGAAGAGTCTAGAAGGCCTCCCAGGTTTCTGTTTGGGTAAGGTAGTAGGTAATGGCACAAATAATTAGGATACAGGAGATATAGGGCAGCCAGGCTGGGGGAGCGTGGGAGGGTCTTTGTCAGAACCTCAGAATCTTAAATCGTTTTTCATACAAAGTCTGGTCTTAGGCAGCATCCTGGTCTCAGGGGAATTGGGCACTAGGTATTTTATTAGGCTGGAAACTCTCAGAGGGCAAAAATTGGGTCTCCCCTCCAAGGGAGAGAATTGCACTGTGTTCTCATTAGACATGGAGCTCCCTAGGGTGCGGGCACCTTTCTTTCCTCTGCTTCTCATCCAGTATTGCCCAGTGTTCAGGGCTTTGTACCTTGTGGGTGGGAGTGCAGGTGCATTGAAGAGGCATAAACCGACTGGCTCCTCTGCTCTCCAGGGTCATCTCGGAGATGGCGTCTTGGTCTATAAATGTATGTATAGTACTGACAGCAGTTAGAGGAGGCAGGGATCTGAGGATTGGGTTAGTGAGGAAGATTTGTTGTGAAATTAAACTATCTGATGCCTGAGAGAGTGGTTTAAGCTACCAAAATTCTGAGCAGTTTGGACAGGTGTTATTCATAACCACTTCTAGTGCCAAAAAACACAAGACATGGTCCAGTCTTGGTGCCCTGGAGGGGAAAGTTATCTATCTCCTCAATGGTTTTTTTATTGCAGAACTGAGTCTGGGGGATGGGTTCCAGGATAGTGGCTGACTTTTTGGAATTGTTGGGCGGTGGTGAGAGGTCTTCTCACAGTGGAGGTAGGAGGGGTGGTGGGTAGCACTAGATTATATTTTAGAAGTTCTATTTAGACTAGAAGGATGTTTTTATGGATCTATGCCTCTGAGGCAATTCTGGAATAGAAAGACATACTTTAGTGTATAGATTTCTGTAAATGCAACATGCATATGAATCACTGGGGTTTCTTGTTAAAATGCAGGTTCTGATTCTGTAGGGCTGGGGTGGGACCTAGATTTTCCATCTCTAGCAAGGTTCTAGCTGGTAAGTGCTGCTTGTTACTTTGAGTAGCAGGGCTTTAGGACTCACCTTTAGGAGACCTTTCCTTTGAGGCCCCTTATATTCTGTACAGATGATGTCCTGCCTCTAATAACAGTTCAATGTCCTGTCTACATATCTGTCTGTCTCTGCCTGCAAGCCCCCTGGAGAGCAGGGTCCATTGCCTATTTATCTAGGTACCTCCACGCCTCACATAAGGCCTCACACATAATAGGTGCTCAATAAAGAATTGATGAAAGAATGACTCTGGGAATAGGAAGCAGTCCAAATTATACCCCAAGTAAGGCTTGGTCCCAAGAGCTCTTGGAACTCTCAATTGCAAACCAAATGTCTTCTGTGCAGCAGATCAGTCACTGATTCAGGGCCACTTTGATCAAGGCTCCCATGCTGGACATACAGGCATGGACTGGAAAGAGGAAGTGGAGGCCTACCTGAGCATTGATGAAACAGGTTCAGGCCCACTCGAGGCAATGAGACAATATTAGAAAACTTAACAGTAACTTCTAAGTAAGTGCACATTAAGGGGGTATGGCTGAGAACCAAAAGGAAGTAGAGAGCAATCCGCGGGTACCCTGGCAGCTTGCACCTCCAAATGCTCAACAGTTAGCTGTTTGTGTCTTCGCTTGTTGAAATCAGGGTTGCCAGGGGAGGCTAGCATGGAGCACAAGGCACCCAGCTGCCCTAGGGTGCTCACTGCCATCCTGGAGCCATGAAATGACAGATGGGGGTGGTGTGGGTTGAGACTATGACCCAAGGGCCAGTCCTCCTGTTGCCATGTGGGGCCCTGCAGAAGCTGGGGCCCAGAGTGAAGGAGATGGGCACTTTCCCGCATGGGGAAGCCTGACTAGGAAGAGGTGAAGAGGAACAGGCAGCAGCGATGTAAGCCTAACACATTTGGAGGGAGGAGGAGGCAAAAGTGGGGCTTGGAGAAGTCCCATGCTGGAGATCCTGGGGAGATGGCAGTGGTAATTTTTACTTCCCTAATAGATGCAGAGCATTTCAACTTTGCTAATTAACCAAACAGCAGGCTTGTAATTCTGACAGCAGCAGGACACAAATGGGGTGGGATGTGTGCTGAATGCCATCGAAGCATGCCTTTGTCCTTAAGAGAAAGCATGAAACTGACGTTGGGTCAGGTCCGTGAGGGTGCCCTCGGATTCTTTTTTCCCTGCAGTCACTCCAAAGGGCACAGGGACTTTCATTGGTTCTCAGGCTTTCTTTAGAGTTAGCAAGGGACCTACTGTTTCAACAGGCTTTTCTTTTAAAGGGGAAAGCTAATCTACAGTTGGTCTAGAGTTTGTAGTCTAATAGTGCTATTATCAAATATACCTTGTATCAGAGACAGCAACTTCAGAGATACAAATAACTTGCCTCTTTCAAGGTATGTATGCTTCACAGACGTTCTTCCATCACTAGCCTTCCACTTTGGTAACTTAGGCCATCCACAGGATGGGGTGATGCGTCCTAGGCATCCCAATCCCTAAGCTGACTCCTAGAAAAGAATATGCTGGGAGGTCAGGGAAGAGTTGTTTTATCTTCCCAAAAACACACTGAACCTTGTTAGCGACTTTGTTCCCAGCGCTTTCTCTCAAAGCATATTGATCTGATAATCTGAGGATCTTAAAGGCCAATAAATATGAAGAAAAGTTTAAAACATCTCAGACTATCAGAGCTGAGTGGGACTCTGTAGGTCCTCTACGCAGATCACCAGCACTTCGCGTGACAGATGTGGCCTGTGACCTTGTGCATGTCACTTGAGAAAGGGTTACCATTTCATTCATTTCTTTATCCTTTCATCAAATATTTATTAAACATTTTCTATGAGTCTGCCCAGACATGTACCTGATAGTGAAAACATGTTTCTATTTCATTGGTCCTGTTTGAGTTAGTTTTCAATGGACTTCCTCTTTATTATAGATGCTGACAGCTGGTTTCACAAGGGCCTGGGAGAATTGATACATAGGACCCTCAGTTGGTGCAAATAGGTTTTCTACTCGAGGTCACCAACTTCTGAGCTGCTGAGCTAATTAGTTTAGCTCTACTTGGCTTTACATAATGCATATATTGTTGAAAAGTTGTTTGTAATTCAATTTTTAGCAAGTGAAAAACTAATTCAGACCGTTAAGGCAAGTTTTATTTAAAGAGACCCTGGAGCAAATCCTTTTATAATGTGAAAAATCTTGTTGTTGTTGCAAAGGATTATTTCCTACTTAAGGATTTTATAAATCCAGACACTTCAGGTTTTCTTATGGTAGACTCATAACCTGGGAGATAACTCAGCTGTCTCTGAACCAAATCAGGGAAGACTAGCCTGGGAAAAGGAAGCCCTAGGAATCTTAGACCAACCAGCCCAACCCAAGATACAGACATTTACTCTGGCCAGTGGTTGCAAGCTGCATGGACAAGCCCCAGCCTTTCTCTTAGGCCCTGGAGTCTGGAGGGGAGAAGGAAGAGATGGGGCATGATGAATGGGGTGTGAGGGATGGAATTCAGAGCTCCCTCTTGCTCTCACTTCATGCATGGGAGCGATGAGAGGTCAGTATAGGGAACCTTTTGCTTCCATTGTAGCAAATTCCACGCTCTTCCTTAATGCCTGAGGACTGCGTGGAATTAGAGCCATCTGTACACTTAAAGGGAATTAAGGGAGAGGAAAAGCAGTGGGAAAAACAAGACAGGAGTTTAGGAGAAAAGAGGGTTATGTGGATTCTCATCATAGAGTGAAATCTCATCCGTTTGGGCCTTGCTCGTTTTGAACTTATAAATAACTTGAAAGACTGAAGTTTAACTTTTCTTATTAAATTTTTTTCCTACAGAAATTAATAGTAAATGTAGTAATATGGGGGAGAATGTTTTAAAATTGATGGATACAAAGGTGTATTTCACATATAAAAATAGGCTATTTTAGGGGCACCTGGGTGGCTCAGTTGGTTGAGTATTCAACTCTTGGCTCCGGCTCAGGTCATGATCTTGTGGTCATGGGATCAAGCCCCACATCAGGCTCCACACTGAGTGTGGAGCCTGCTTGATTCTCTCTCTCTCTCTCTCTCTCTCTCTCTCTGCCTCTCCCCCCCTTGATCGATCTCTCTCTCAAAATAAATAAACTTAAAGAAATAATAAATTAATTTTAAAAAAGAAAATAGCTATTTTAATGCAAAGGCATCGTTCTACACAAACAATTCATGCATTAGCTCAATATGATCCTTGTCTAGTTGGTTAAGACTGATAGGACTTTTTTCCACCAAGGAAGCCAAAACATCTTATTGTGTGAAGATGAAAAAACCCTATGTATCTATTTGTAAATTTTGTAATCATTTATATTGATCCTAAGCAGTTTCTACTAGTGAGATTTCATAGTTTTTCTGTGTTGGACATAAGGTCAGAGTGTAAATATCTGTACAAACTAAGGATAATAAGTATAAAACAATGCTTATAGTTAGAGCTTTCTTTTTTATGGTGTTTTCTTTCTTCTGTTGCTCACATCCATCTCAAAGTGAGCCTTGTGGCTGGTTATTCCAGAATCAGGCACTCTGGGCCAGCTTATGAAGAGAAGCAAATGATGAATAAAGAGGCTCACTGTCTTCATTTAGTGAAAAATGAAGAAGAAATAGGTGAAATGGTCAAAGACACGTTGGAAATTTGTTGGGAGTTAGGATATAACCCCTGACCGTGGAAACTGGCATTCTGAGGACACATCTCTCCTCCTCTCTGGTTGAGTGTACAACTGGCTCATTTTCCCTTCCCTAGGCCAGTGATCTTAATCCTGGGCTGTTGCCAGAATTCCCAGGTGCGTCTCTTGAAACAGTCAATGTTTAGAGGTTGAGACAGTCCTGAGTGAGACTATCCTCCCCAGTACGTTTCTCTGTGGACTGTCAGATTGGGACCACATGGGAGTAAGCCAAGTGGAGAAAGGCACTGGAGCAGGTGTCCATGGGCTCTGGTTCTGTTTTACTGAGCCGACGCAGAACCTCTTCTCTTCTGGGGTCCATGTGTGCAATACACAGCAGAGGCTCCAGTTATAGCTCACAGAGTGTGGGCTGGCTCTCCCTGAGAGTCCTTGTGGGTGGTCGGGTTACATGTGGGGGCACAGTGGGCTGGCCTGGGGTTTTGTGCCTGTGTGCTGAGGCTTGTCTTCCCACACACCTTGCACTCACACTGGGCTGGGTTGCCTTTGAGGCTGTTTCTCCAGGCACATCATTATATTCCATTCTATGTGAGCCCCAGGCCTCTGCCTCCCACCCCCTAAGAGGAAGTCAGCTGGACCCCAGAAGGGACTTTGCAGCTGAGAAGTGAAATTTAGGCAGAGAATGTGTTGCTGGAGAAGGGAGTGTGTTTACTTCCCAGGAGATTGGTGTCTCCCCACCTCCTGTCTGTTGTGGACTGGTGAGGGTGACATTGAGGGGGAGGAGGAAGAAGGCTGTTGCATTCAACTTAGCTTCCCACTTGGGGATATTGTGGTTTACTTTTCCCATTTGTACAATGAAGACTAAAAGTCACTGTGCCAGGTAGAGGAAAAGCAATAAACACTTATTTAGGGCATTGTAGTCCATCTTGATATTAATAAACCTGTTCCATAGATGTTTACTGAGTGCTTACTGTGTACCAGACACCATGCTAGGCAAAGAGGTACAAAAGTGGCTTTTAAAAAGCCCCATCGTCAAGTTGCTCACAGCAGCAGGGCTTGTGGTTGTTGCCTGCCAGGCACGGAGCTTTGTATACGTGGTGGGGGCAACTTGGACCATCCTTTCCCTGGAAGGGACACCTGCGTGGCCTGGCATCATGTGGAAGTGTCCTTCCTGTTGTGGACCCTCTCCTGCTCCATTGGGCTGGGCTGTAGCACCTGAACAAGGCACAACTTTTTGGCGCATGATAGCGTTGGGCCGCTGAGGGGGGCACCCGGGGATTCAGCCAGTTGGCTTCTTTCACCCTGATTCCTCTGTTTTGTCATCCCACAGGATCTTTTCGGAATGATGGTTTGAAAGCTTCTGATGTCCTTCCCATCCTAAAGGAAAAAGTGGCCTTCGTGTCTGGTGAGTGTTTGTGGAACTTTGCTCTATAAGAGACCTGGAGGAGTGTGTGTACGTGTGCATGCTGGCAGTCACTTCTTGGTGTGTGAGAGAGAAGTGGGGGTGGGGTGGCACTCAGGAGCCCCTGGCTGCATCCTTGCTCCAGAGGCAGGCAGAAAGAGGAGGGAGAGCTCTGATCCTAGCTGGGTGCTCTGGATGACATTCACCACCACAGGTGGGTGCCTCTCACCTCACAGCCCCCACACATATACCTTACTTCACCCCACCATCCCAGGCCTGTGAGGTCCCTCATGGGCCACTAAGGTCCTTGTGGGAGATGGTCCAGTTGGAGGACTCTGTTCACCTCACACATTCCCAGAGGTTTCATTTGGGCTCATCTCTGACTGGATCACAGATAGGACATTAACCTCTTTATCTCTCCTTCCTGGCAAAGGGAACTCAAGTGAATGTTTATATCCATTCATTTACCTTTCTTAGTAATGACTTCCAAATATTTATTTCCAGCTTTTCTCTCCAACCCATCTTGTGCACCTGCATCTTTTACTGTCTGATTCAGGGGTCAGCAAACTATAGCTGGTGGGCCAGCCACCTGTTTTTGTAAGTAAAATTTTACTGGAACACAGCCATGTGCGTTTGTTCAGGCAGTATTAGTCTCCTATTGCTGCTGTAAGAAGTTACCGCAAGTTTGGTAGCACACAGCAACAGAAATTCATTGTCTCATGGTTCTGAAGGCCATGAAGTCAGTTTACTGAGTCTGAAATCAAGCTGTCAGCAAGGCTGTGCTACTTCCAGAAGCTCTTATGGGAGAACTCACTTCTTGCCTCTTCCGGCTTCTGGTGGCTGCCAGCATTCACTCCCATCTCTGTCTCTGTGGTCACACTTATTCTCCTCTTCTGTCTGTGGCACATCTTCCTCTGCCTCCCTCTTACAGGATACCTGTAACTGCATTTAGGGCCCAGTCATTTAAGCCGGGCTCATCTTCCCATATTAAGATCCTTGACTCGGTCACATCTATAGGTGCTTTTTCCAAATAAGGTGACATTTACAGGTTCCAGGGATTAAGACCTGATATTTTTTTTTGGGGGGGGGGCTACTATGCAGCCTGCTATAGGTAGTGTGAATGGATGCTTTCTTCCTTTAGTTTTTTTGTTTATTTTAAAGAGAGAGAGAACATGAGTGGGGGGAAGAGCAGAGAGAGAGGGAGAGAGAGAATCCTAAGCAGGGTCTGAACTGTCAGCACAGAGTGCTGCACAGGGCTCCAACTCATGGACTGTAAGATCATGACCGGAGATGAAATCAAGAGTCAGAAGTTTAACCAACTGAGCCATCCAGATGCCCCAATGGCTGCTTTCTAACTACAATCGCAGAGTTGAGTAATTTTATCAGAGTCCAGATAGTCATAAGCTTAAAATATTTACTATCTGGACCTTTAAGAAAAGTTTGGTGGCCTGTGATGTAATTGAAGGCAAGCTACAGGTGCACCAGCATCACTCTGGGTGCCAGTTCTTGAGTTCTGTAGACTTCCCTTGTAGAACCTCCAGCAGGGGCTGGGATGATGGCAGTGCCCCACCGAGGATCACAAGCATTCATGCCTTGTGGACTGAGCATTTGTTTCTGGATGATCCTGATTGTCCACAAGGAGTGGTGGTAGAATCACAGGGAAGAAGTGAGTACAGTCCCACAGGGCATGGCTGCACATCATAGGTGCTACTGAACTGGATGATGGGCAACAGACACAATGAAGAGAAGGGAGAGTGAGGAGGGGTTTAGAGGGAGGTGAAACCAAGCGGCAGGTGTCTCCCACCTGCTGAGAGGGAAGGTAAAGACTGATGATTCAGAATGTGGAGATGGGATGTGAGAGCAAAGTATGAGATGGGAGTATGTAAGGTACTAGATGTACTCAGTAGTAATAGTGATACCAGCGTTTTATTGTTGTTGCTGCTAGGTGAGATTGACCAAGAAGCTGCCTTTCTCCATTAGCGTTAGGGGCTTGTCTACCTTGTCAGGTAGTGAAACCCTGTCACTGCAGATGTTGAAGCACAGGCTGAACAGCCCTTGGCAGGATCATGTGGCGGTGATTATGGGTAGAGGGGTTGGTAAGGCAACCTCCAAAGTCTTTGTAAGCTTGGATCTGAGTGTTTGCTGAACATGTGGGAGGACCTTGTGTGGAGGTCCTGAGGGCCGCTGGGCAGTGCTAGGCCCCTGACTTCTGCTGCTGCCCAATGCCTGGCTGTAGGACATGGCCCACAGCGTCTATTGTTTACTTTCTACTCCCAAGTAGAGCTCAATCAGATCTTTTCTTCTTTAGGGCCTGGAGCTTCATCTAACCTGATGTCCCTCCTGTCCCCTGGGTCTCCTGCTAATCCTCCCATTTCTCTTGTGCCCAAACTTCCTCTACCTGCAATGCTTTACCCACACTTTCTGCCATTTTGAGCCTCTGTTTTTCCCAAGTAAGTGCCCACTTTGCCTCCTCCAGGAGGCCTGCCTTGCTTTAGTGTAGAGCCTCTGAACACCATCCTGTTCTGCATCAGTTCAGGGCATATGAGTGCAGATACAGTAAACTCTGACATGGGGACCCTTGTTTGATTGTTCATGGCTTATTTTTTCCCATGTGAATTCAGTTGGAGCCCTGAGGCAGAGCTCAGCCAGCCCTAGAAAAAAACCTTCCCAACTAGACAGAGTTGTCCTAAGGGAGAACATAGAAACAATGTGCTAGGAAGACAGTCCAGCATGAGGCAGGTAGATGCTTCCCAGAGCAGGAGCGAGGTGGCTGGGGCTGTGCACCTCGCTCCCTTGAACTGATGTGGGCTGACCAGCCTGGGGTGCGTCTTACTCATCTGCACGTGGTGCCAGGAGCTTTTGAGCTTAGGGGACATTGTCTTCCCATGCCTGAGAAGGATGCTGAGGATGCTAGGGAGACATCTGGCTGCATTAAAAACAAAAACAAAAACAAAACAAAAAAACCCAGAAACCAGAAACAAACCAATAAAGCCTCTTATATACTGAGCTTTTAAAAGACAAAACACAAGAATAAAACAAAACAAAGAAACCAGAATTAAATAATACAGTGTAGCAGCTATATTTCTTTCTGAGAAGGAAGGTGGTGACCAGAGAAACGAACTGTCTCTTGTTCCTGCCCTCCTCTGCTCCTGCCCCCAGCACGGCCAGGGCAAAGGAAAGCGTGCTGCCATGGGAACGCACATTTGGAATAATCCAGTGCAGCCCAACAGCTTCTGTGTGTGGGCGTGTGCACGTGTGTGTGAGACAGGTTCTGTGGCTGTGCCTTAGGGAGCCTCTGTCATTCCAGCCTGGTGGTCCTGCTCTATACTCACAACCTGTGGGCTCCCCCTTTGCCCTCTCTGGCTTCCTCTGAGTGCATATGCCTCCCACTCACAAGCACCCATTTGTGCCTTTTATCCAATCTGCTTGTACAGGGCTTATTTCACCCCTATTATCATTTTGTGCACTCACACCCTCCTTTTGGCCACCCCCTGATGTCTCTCTGCCTCCTGATCTCCCACCAGCAATGTTCTCTATGTTCCCAGGGAAATTTCATGCTGCTGTGGTACAGTCTTGTATCTTGGACCTGTGTCTCTCAAAGTATGTTCCATAAAACAGCAGTCCCACAAGATGGTCCTCAAAAAAATGAAAAGGGGTCCTATGCTTAAATAAGTTTGGGAAATGCATATTATAGCCACCTCATGGAGATTTGCTGTGTCCATTAAAGCACATGCCCATTAAACACATGAAAGCATCTCCCAAACTACAGAATAACTTCATTCCCTTAAGGAAATCATGTGTATCCATTAACATCTTGCTAACTATTGTTACATGGGCCAGAATTTTAGTATGATGCCCTCAATGTATTTTTCTTCTCCCACCACCCCTCACCTTCCCCACTTGCCCTAACTGGAGCCTGATACCCCCTGAAAATTTTTGAGCAGCATTGTTCCTCTGGCTCAGTCAGGGAAGCCCTAATGGTCCCTGCTTTTGGTCTTGCCTCTTCCCCAACCCTACCCTGCCCTGCCTCTCTGGAAGGGGATCAGTGCTACTTCTAGAACATCAGACTGTCCCCTCCCTCTTTATCCTCTTTATACCTGTCCTGTAGCTCCTGGCAACAAAGCCTCACATGCACAGGCCCACGGCAGGAATGTGATGAGTAAAGGAATTACCAGCACCTTTTCAAAACTTGGCTACTTGTGTCTCATACCCTCTGGGATCCACCTCCATAATGCACACTGACTTCAGCAGGGAGGATTCTCATTCTTCATCTCTGTGTATCACGCTCTGTAATGTCAGCACCATATCAACTATCCATCCAATCCTACACCTTCATGGCTTCTCAGCCTCCTTGGCACCAAAGTTTTCCACCTCCTTATTTAGGCCATGAAAATCTACGACCTTAACCCTTGATATGTGCGTCCATGGACTTAGCCTCTTACCTTTGACCCTTTCTGGTGTTCTCCTATAAGTTGGGAAAGGATGGATTTCAGATGAGCAAAACATCTGCTCCCTCTTCTCTGGGAACTCATGATCCAGTAGGACATTTCCTACCTGCACTGGGCCCTCTCCACTTACACATGCATTAGCTTTATTCTGCCTTCACTCAGGTTAGAACCTAACATAGATACGATGGCTAGACCTCCCAAAAGAGGTCTCACTGTGCCCCAGTTCCCTGCCTCATTCCTTTTAGCCTACCTCATACACAGTCCTGCTGTTCATTCTCTTGGGATGCTGATCAGTGATGGTCTTCTCCGCTTTCTCCCAGCACCTCGAACCTATCCTGATCCTTGACAGGTGACCTCATTTGCTATTTCACCTAAAGAGCAGTGTCCCCCAGGCAGGCTGAATTTCTCCCACTCCTTCATTTAGTTGTTTCCTCCTCCCTCTCTCAGTTGTATCAGCCTGCTTCAGAGAAGGGGACAGGACCCCTCTTCTTGCACCGGCTCTGAGGCCTTGTTCTACCCATTGTCCCACTCTTTCCAGCACAGTGATTCTCTTTCACTATGCCCTTTCCTCCTCTGCTTCCTACACACTTGCAAGGTCATCTCCTTTCTGAGAAACACCTGGCTGATCCTGCTGCCCCCTCTTGGATCCTTCTCCATGCTTACTGAAGGGACCGGGCTGCCCTGACCCAGGCTTTCTCCTTTCCCTCCCTCTCCTCTGCCATCTGGAACCTTCCCCAGCCATATTTATGAAACTCTTATTTCCAAGGGCAGAACTACCTCTAGCTCAGGAAGGACAGTTCCAACAGTCCTACAAAGTCCGTAGTGAGTCTTTGCCAAACAAGCCAGTCTTGGCACTCCATGTTCTCATGGCTCTACTGTGTCTACCGAAAGTCAGGAATAAAGGCAACAACTGCAGTTAAAACCACCCAAGAGTGAAAATCCTTAGGATGGTTCATGGCTAGAGAGGAAGGTTGTGGTTACAAGAGATGCTCCCAGCTTTTGGGATGTAATGCCCCTGATTTCGAATCCAAGAGACCACCAAGGAGCCAATACCGATGCAA